ACACACACACACACACACACACACACACACACACACACACAGTGTCAGACTCACCTGTATGGTTCGTACAACCTTTACTGGCTCCATCGCCCACGTTTCTTCTGAGAGCTCGGACTTGTAAAAGCAGATTACAGGTTACACATAGTATCTACCTTTACTATGTGCCTGTAGTAAGTCATCGATTAGAGGTTAACGTGGTATTAGCTCCATGTATTTTGATGCGAGGAGTTTAAAACGACTTCATTGGTTGAATAAAAATAAATACCACTGTTACTTCGCGCACGCATCTATGTCCGTGAATCTCGATAAACGTGGCAACATCCTGCTTCAATCTGCCGCGCTCGTCTGATCTGAGCCAATCAACCGCCTCCTCATGTGTCAGTAATTTGCAAACCTCCGCTTTGCCGCCGTCTACTACTGCTAGCGCCATCTTTCGGAGGGCAGCTGAAACGTTTGCACTGATTACGTCTGTGCTGGTAGATAGCAGGAAGGCAACATCTGACATCACTTCGGAGTGTTCTGTAACCAGATAGTTAGTAGATGTTGCACTACGAAATATGATAGTTTTGTGTTGCACAATTCTATATCTATGTTGTCACGATCACTAGCAGCTATGAAGAGTGGATGGAATACAGGATAGCCATGCATCTCATTAATTCCTACTAATTTTCGTGTAAATCCTTTTTTATTGCTCATGTAGTAGGCAATTGAGTTTTACATAAAAATTAACCGTATTTTAAAAGAAGTTCAACGACACATGCATTTCTTCTTGCTTTAAAAAACGAATAAAGCAAAAACGCTGTACTCATCAAATATAATATACTTATTATTGTAATATTTCAATATAGATCTACTGTAGAGATACGTAATGCATAGATAATATAGCATCATTGCAAAATTTGGATATATATAAAAATATATGTGGGCTCTTAACTCGTAACGTAAAATTGACCGTAAGGTTGATATACAGTATAGGTTGTGCATACCCGTGTCTTTATTTTTCAAAACAATTCTCAGATTGTCAGTATTCATCATCGATGCATAATAATATGTGGTTTGGGAATGAGCGAACCAGGCCTAGAAAATAACAATGTATTTCATATTAGATTAAATAGGCATCTGATAATCCGCCGCCAGATTTTTTATATTATTAACAAATGTATTATTTTTTATTACATTTATAATTAATTTTAAACATTTATATAATAATAATATACATTAAAATATTATTTTTTTAAACTAACTTTTACCACTTTTAATACTAATTTTATACGGTATATTTAGTGAATAGCAGAGAGGATGAGAGAGAGGGTGACGAATGGATGGAGATGAAGGGCCGTTGACACATGCATTAATAAGGTTTTAATTGATTACTTTTAAATTAGCAGTTAACAAATAACTGCCTATTAATTATAAATTTACTAGTGTGTTTAATAAAATGTCGAATTAGTCAATAAATCTTGATGACTCGATAGTTGTTCGTAGAATAGGAATCGCTTACCGTTATTAGCTAATGACATCACTATGCTTATAGTACCTGATTACTTATCAACAGCAAATCTTGGATAAAAATGTTAATGTCAAAACAGGGTCGGACGTCGTTTCAAATAAAGGAATCAAGCATAATTCAGGACCGAACAAAATCCTGATCCAAAATCAAAGGTCCCCACACCATAGATTAATTTTTGTGGATCACAATGCCTATATATAGCGCGGCGACACAAATATATTTAGTGTGGGGGTTAGTGTTGGCGATGTGGAGTGGAGGTTACCGTTAGGGTTAACGTTTTGAACGTCATCGTCAACGTTATCACGTGACCTCCCTCCACGCTCGGGGGATAGCAACACCCGTTATATATCTTCATCAGTTGAATAAAGCCCCGCGCAGACTTACGACTTGTTCATTCTAGAATCGCAGCCGAGTCGCATGAGAAATCGCTAGATCTGCGGGAACGTGCGACTGCGATTCTGGTCGCTTTCGACGAGTCGCAGGAAATCAAACATGCTTGATTTTCAGAAACTCATCCCTCCGAAATCGCTTCCAAATCGCATGTGTGGGAACTATGACAAATTCTCGTCTGACCAATCTCTCTGTCTTTGAACACATGCTGCGATGGATGCTCGTTTACTTTCCTGAATAGCCTTATCAATGTCCAGATAATTGATTGGTTACAGTCGAAAGTAAGAACACATTTTCTATACGCTTATCGTTGCTTCAATGTAAAAAAGTAGAAATAAGATACCTGTTTTGAAAACATGTGTGGCTTTCTTGGCGGAGGCAATACATGGAAGCCCATATTCTATCGCAACCACGGCTCCTGGAGTGTTAAAGGTACACTTTAACATCATTTTCACTCATATCATACGTACACCATTATATACACATAACATACATTACATGTGACATACACATACACACACACACACACACACACACACACACACACACACACACACACACACACACACACACACACACACACACACACACACACACACGCCCAATCGAAACTCATCAAGCTATAATTTAAAAAAATTAATACGATGTAATGCCGACGTATAATACCTCAAATTTGCTTTTGTCGCCAGGAATGAATTTCCGTGGTACCGTGTCGATTTCATCTCCAAAGCGGATCAGTATAAAAATGCGAACGTCTCGCTTGCACAGCGACCGTCGTGGAAACGGCGAGGCGTCGTTTTTCTAAAGACGCACAAATGCGCGTCGACGTCAGTCTTCAACGCGCTGACGCAGTACGCCGTCAGAAATCAGCTCAGCATCGCTCTGCCGCTGAAGCGCAAGACGATCTTTCCGAAATGGCGGCGCTTCAGTCGCGACATGGTGGCGCCACTGCTAGGCGACGGCGAGCGCTACGACATGATTCTGCATCACACGCGCTACGACCGCGCCGCGATGCGCGACACCGTCGCGTCCGACGCCGCCTGGGTGACCATAGTTCGAGACCCGGTCGCGATGTTCGAGTCCTACTACAGCTACTACAAGCTCGCGCAGCGCTTGCATGTCGACCTCGAGCGATTCATGCGCACGCCCTCGATTTTCTTCACGCGCCTGCTATCGAGTCGCAGCCTCGACGTGCCCGCGCGCAATCCGATGCTGTACGATCTCGGATTGGACGTCGCCGACTTCGACAACGAAACGGAAATCCGGCAAAAAATCGCAGATCTCGACGTCGAATTCGATCTGGTTATGGTCGCCGAGTTCTTTCCCGAGTCGATGGTGCTGCTCAAGCGGCTACTGCGCATGCGCACCGACGACCTAGCCTCGCTGCGCATAAACGGCCGCGAGGAGGCGTCCAAGTCGCGCGTGCGGTCGCAGCTGGCGGCGCGGATACGCGCCTGGAACTGGGGCGATCAGCTGCTCTACGATCGCTTCCAACGTCGGCTCGTCGCCCGCGTCGCCGCGTACGGCGCGGCGAGAATGCAAGCCGACGTCGCCGAGCTGTCGTCGGCCAGCGACAGTCTGGGAAAGCGCTGCGTCATCGGCGTGTCGTCAGAGAAAAAGGGTCGGTTCGCGTCGTCGGCGACTATGGTGAAGTTTAACGTGAAGAGCGACGAGCCAGAGTGCGCGCTGCTGGCGGTGAACGCGACGACGGCGTGGGACTACATGACGCGGACGACGATTGATCTGTGATAGAAGGATTCGCGCGGCGTGTCGCTGATCTCACGTTGAACTCGCGCACCTTGAAATGCATTACAGTTCACGTTTCCATTTGCGGTAACAACTGCAGTTGCCATAAACGCCAAATACCGGTTCATCGAACGCGCAACTCTCACAACTCGCCATATAATTACATATAATATAATAAAATATATAATGTAATATAATAATTATATACTATATAATGTAATATAATAATTATATACTATATAATGTAATATAATAGTTATATAATATATAATATAATATAATACGATGCCATATAATGCATTCTTACGTAGTAAGAATTTTACGCATCACTGAACGCGATTAAGTGAAACATTGTTTGTTAAAGATGTAAAAAATAAAGTTGTTTTGTGTAATGTTTACCAGTTACCAGATATCAATTACTACTGCTAAATAATTCACACATTTCTTACAATGCTCTTGCTGAACAAGCGTTTGTATACAGTATGTGCATTCTAACATCGTGGCGCTGACTAAACTACAAACTTATAGGTACAAATGGACTTCATCAACAAGAAACGGGAGTCTCGAGAAAAATCCCACAATCAATGATTACATATTTTTATAAATATTTATAATTTCGTTCATAGTTTTTACACATAAATGCGTCTATAATAAATCCATATAAGTCCATAAAATGTCATACTTATGTACATAAGTACATAAAATATAAAAAGTCAATTCCTTTCAAACCAAGTTTTAAAAACGCAACAGAACTTTCTCTAGTTCGAGATAGTTTCTCTTTTTAAAATTGTCGGATAGTAATCAGCCTAACTGTAGGTAGTCAATGCACTGGTTTCTTGATGAACGCATCGCAGACTACAATATTTCTACTGCACCGACCGTAGTCCAATCTCGTCTGCGGTGTTCCGCTAGCATTTTATACCAAATTGCTTTGGAACTGGTACTACCTGCTATATTTAATCAATTAGCAAGGCTATAGGCCACCGAATCAGAGAAAACCATAGGCGCGGGTTAGGCACCAAAATGCTTACTCAGAGTGTATACACCTATGGTAAACCTTCACTGCCACAACCTTCCCCTTAGTAGGTAGTTTTAATTTTGTTTAAAATATATTTCAATTGTTGTGATTAAATTCCAACCAATCAGAGCAGTCTTTGCTCGCGAATAATATATATTTTACGTAATATTTCATCTTGGCCACCATATTGAAGAAATTTAGGTTTTTTTTTTTTTTTAATTTTTTAATTGCGAATTTAGTCGCTGTTGAGTTTTCAGCCAATGAGAGAAGTTGTCCCATTATTTACGCGTCGCCGCGGCTACAGGCGATATATAAAGTACATCATATGTAATAAGTGGCGATGGAAAAATAATCGTGCTCATCACTGCAGCGAATTACGTTTCTATGACGACGAGGCTAGTTGTCATGGTAACCGTATCATTGTGCGCTACGTGTGGCGAGCAGACTCCACGCGGCCGGATTTGTGGGCACGCACGAACGGCGGAGATCTGACGCCGGGGTCACGCGACGAAGTCGTCGAGTGCGTCCTCTCCTGTTCCTCTAAAATATAAACAACATCAGCCATTATCCAGCGCATTCATCGCTCCCCCACCATATATACACACAGATATATACATACATATGTAATGTCCACGGAGCCCGTTGTCAGAAACAAAATTAGTCTTAACATTAGTCTTAACAATTACATTTTCTCGTAAACCGTCGACAGCGCTTTGTTTCGTATTGTTATCAGGAAATCTGCTACGATTTCTCATTCAGGTAACTTCGCAGCGTTTCTGTCGACGGTTTAAGAGAAAAAGTTAATGTTAAGACTAATGTTAAGACTAATTTTGTTTCTGACAACGGGCCCACGGCCTTCTGCGAGTCGACGACTCGCAATTCTTTTGTGGAGTATGGCAGCGCCTCGGGAGATTGAAGAGCAGGTTTAGTACAACGCATCAGGTACAGATAAATAGTAGAACACAGGGTTAGATTGGCGACACAGGTTACGGTGTGAGTACAGGGTACAGTGTGAGTGTAGTTGGGAGTTATAGCATTTACATAGTGTGCAGTAGATTTAGATATTTTTTTTTTAAAGTTAGAATTTGAAATTTATTTACTCTTTCAAGTATATTACATTGTTACATATATCACAACAAGTTTTTTTTTTTTTAAATACAGCGAGGGAGGGCGAATTGACTATACAGTGTTCAAGTCAGCCACTCCGCTAACTACAGTTAGTTACTTAAAGTTGATTCAAGACTTGAACCATGAATGACAATACGATTGGATAATACAAAAATATATATGAGCGTTGTTATAAAAAGTAAATAAATTATAAGTAAACTACATGCAAA